ATACTACATTATATTGTTAAATCATCTCTGCTGTTACTTAACTTCAATTATTCGTGTTCTCTTCTCTGAGTACTGTTTTTTTTCTGCTTTTTGGTTCGACTTTTGACGCACAGGTGATGGAGGCTTCGGAAGTGGTGCAACAACGCGTCAAAGAGGCCAGTCTTGTTGATTCATTGAGCAATCAAGTCTCTCGAGTGGCTGACGTTACTAGGCGATCGGTACACGATATCACGTCAGCTCTCGCACAAAAGGCTGGCTTCGAACAGATTGCTGGCAATGATGATCCCCGTGGCTTCAGAGACGATTCGGCGATTGGCGACAGTCATGCTCTCTGGGACAGGGAGGCTATTATGCCAAAAAGTAAGAGTGCAACAGCAGGTTGGGGAAGCTCGTCATACCAGAACGACTCGACGTCTAACAGCAATGACAGCAGCGCGCAGCCAAAAGGTCGCCGAAAGCCTGTGGAGAAGGTCCAAGAGGAGGACGGAGACTGGGGTGACTGGGGTAACAATGACTGGGGAGGAAGTGACAAAAACTAGAGTAGCGAAAAAATAAAAATACAGCAGCAAAAGTAAAAGAAGGATGTCCAGTGGACTATCGATGTGTACTGCAGAGAAGAGGATGACGAAGTAGTAGTAATGCAAGCTTTTTGTTTAGACACAAAGCGACTAAATTGTCTACCGAGATTAAGCTGTTTTAATGGACCTCCATGATTGTTGGGCTAATGGGAATGATATTCCCATGAGAACAAATGAGAAAGAGAGTCAAATGTTGAACTTCCTAACAAAGGCATGGTCAGCCGCATGCCTCTCCATGCGTTTCTTAGTTCGATTGGACTGTAATGAAAAACGGAAAGAAGAGATGCCATCGGAGATAGCCACGCACCTTTATGGTAAGCTAGCGTATATTTTGACATACGAAAAGTAGAGCAAGATGATGGATGAGGGAAGAAAATCAACATAAAGTAAAAGCGTAGAAAGTCACTGAAGACGGCGGCTTTAAATGTGACCATAGTTTATATATAACAATTTGGTGGCGGCCACTTGAGAGTTGATAGTTGACGATGACGAATCTGGAAGCAGCAATGTCCAAAAAGTGTTATGTATGAATAGATAAGGTGGAATAACAAATACAATTAGGAAATCAAGGCAACTGAGCGGCACCGATAGACCTATATTATGGATTTCGATTATAGAAATGTGACCACGTCCTATCCGTGTGTCAGAGATATGTAACCTATTTTCGTAGATAAAATAAACCTAGCTAAGAAGCACTGAAGCCTCACCAACTGTACCATGAATAAATCTCGCTCCAGTTACCGTAAGAATAATTAGCACATTTAAATGAACTTCTCGAGTCCAATCTCTATGATAGTTAACAACAAATATAGTTCTTAGGTTCCTATTAAGATGTAATTCTTTGCCCGTGGCCCGAACGAGATTTTATTTTCATCATATAATATTGTCCATAAGACAAATGATATATATACATATATATATATATATAAATTTTTTCCAATGTTTTTTTATAATAAACAGCAAGATAGAACGGACAATGAACTCTAGATATCGGATACTAGTTCGACCTCGAGTTGTACTGACAATAGGGGTAAAGGCAGTGATGATTATCACCTTTATGCGAGTTGGTATAACTGATGAATAAAACTACGCAATTATTTTTCTACCTTGTTAGAGTCATAGAAATTATTTCTTTTGAATAAGTGATAGTTGTTATTGGTTTTTCGAATCCATCTGTAGTGGTTTCGGTGCAGGTGTCCGATCAACAGTGCAATGCAGACGAATCATTTTGCACCTATGCTGAGGGACTCCTTGAGGAAATCTTTTTTGTTGTTGATTTTGTTCAGTTCCGTCACCGCCATTGATGTTACAGTGGTATATAGATGTTACAACATGTAACGGAGGACAAGGAATTCTTAACACCTAAGCTCTACCCAACATAATTTCGTGATGACAGTTAAGATAATTATAGCGTCCATGACATGACTATGACGAAACGACTGAATCAGTAATGAAAAAAAGAATAAAAATTACGAAATTTCCGATAAGAAATCTGCTATGTTCAATTTCATTCAGTATGTTGTTAGGTACAAAGAATCACACTTCTGTATGTTGCTTTTATTCATTCATCTTGATTTATTTACAAACGAAGTTGTAGTACAAACCCATTTTACTCTTTGAACCCGTTTGTGTGTTTATATAATCAAAATGAGTGTGTTAACGTTAAATTTTCTATCGCTACATATTTACTGTATGTGTCAAGCACATCAATGTTGCCATTCAATCAATAATCATGTTTTGGCCGCCTTTCGAAGTAGTAATCAAGATTATTTATAATACAACTACATTCAGTTACATTCAGCATGACGTTCGATAATTAATTCCATTATTTAATGCGTATTCATTCAACGATGGTGGATCGCCCTATGTTGTACTCATTCTCGACTTTCGTTGTATGCTTTCATACGTACCACTTCACTCCCACTTTATATCATAAACATAACATTTTAACACCTCGCCGCACTACGAGCGATTACTCGGTCTCTCTTGCACTAAAAACACGTTATTGGTGATACACAGCCCTGACCAGTTATGTCTTTACACATTCAGAATTTTTTTCTTCTACTCATTCTGGGTATACTTCATGTCTATGTTAATTGTAATTGCTTTTGTTTCGGTTATTTTTTTGCAGAAAAAATAACACAGTCACCAGAGGCCATGCACGTAACGCCATGCTCCATTTGAGCATTATAATTTTATGATATCTCAGACTGATAACGTGGATTGAAATATACTAAAATACCAAGATAACCAATTATTCAGCTGCTTTCAGCACCACTTTCAAACGGCTCTCAAATATGCCATTGTCGAGCTCGCCTAAGCAGGTCGACATGTGAAATAAGCGATAGGGACCGCGCAAATTTGGTTAGTTTTAAAAGAAACAACTTGTTTCTCTTATTTGTTCCCAGTAGAAAGAAAGGCGACGATTCCAGCCGATCCAGCAACCGAAATGATGTAGTTAAAACCTGGAGGATATGTGCGGAACAGATAGAATCCGAAGAACACAACAAGACTGAGGAAGAGAGCGTTGTTGTAGAAAATTGAAAAGTTTGTCGCTTCGTACTGAGCCACTTCGTTTTTTTTGCACAGAACTCGTTCGTCACGTTCGTCCCGAGACACCTATAAAACAGCAAAATGGAAAAATAAGAACAGAAAAGTGAAACAACGTTTGCTTAAAATATAAAGGCTGCTTACAGATAGGGGCTCACATAAAATGGCGCTTTTTCATTTATTTAAATGTGGCTTCATTACCGCATTATACAAAACTAATTACATTGGATATTGCTTTTTGTCCCTTGTGATTAATGCGATTAATGTGATTAATTGATAATTAAAGGTTATAAAGGAACAGATATAAAGGAATCGAGCTCTCCCTCACCTTTCTATCGCCAATCTCCTGCGCCACCTCACGATTGATGGCCTGTTCCCTCTTCTGAGCAAGTTTGTGCTTCAGAACCAACTGTACTTTTCCATAAGCCAAAGCCATCAAATACGTGGCTAAAGCTGTGACAGCGCAATATAAAATCATATTTGGTAGAATTTCCAACTGCTGGATACGCCAGAACAACCCTGAAATTTTATAAAACAGCAATAAGCAAATTTCTAACTAAAAACCCTACTGATGTTCTACACCAAAAAGCTACGTTTATTTCTAGCATCTAATTTAGCACTGATACCAATCAACACTGAAAAAATCAGGATTACTGAACCAGCATCGTGTGTCTAGTATATAAACATATAGAAATAAAATTATGGACAAGTTGAGATTAAAACAGTGTTTTTCATGTTATTTCAATAGTTTGCTTTATGGACTAAAGTAGATCCTTCACATTAATCTATTTTCAATTTGAAGATCGTATACCAACTATGCATAACATCAACTAATTTTATCTAACGACTGAGCTGTAACCTGTTTCGCAAAGTACGATAAGGCCTGTTATTAGATGTTAGATACTATAGAAAAACCGTATCAAGGAAAACCGAGAAGTAAAACTATATTCCACAAATATATTATTTAGACAACCAAGAAACGGGTCGTAAGTGAAGTCTTAGCGTATGAATTCTAATTACTTTTTTTTTTTTTTCTAATTACTATATGCCGCACGAATGGAAAAATCAACCTTATAACTAAACGGACATTATCCTCTTACGGATATATGGACCTCTTACTGGACAAAGTGCCGCTGTGAACACTGTATCAATACACTCTAAGTAACTCAAAATAGTTATTTTCCCAGGTTGCTTCAACTGACTAGATTTTCGCAAGACTAGATTTTTTGAATCGGTCATTGAAGTCATTTTCAAATGAGTAGATTTTGTGAATCGGAAATGAACGATGTACAGGTATTAACTTACATATAGGCAGAGCTGAGACAATGATCGCATTGCCATAGAAAAGAGCCGAATTTTTACTTGTTACATTATTCGAAAATTGTTGAAGAAGCTCATCCTCTCGCGTGAGTTTCTTGCTCTTGGTGGCCGAACCCGATGACATTTTCCGTCCGTGTTAGACTGTCTCTTCTTCTGCCAAAAAATGTCAGGTCTTTTGGTAGACCTTACACCGTATGATGTGAAACGGACACTGTTATGTCAACGGCTTAGCTTAAGCCGAACCGAACTTTTGCTCCGCTAATAGTCTGTGGCTGTCGTCACGCCGGCTGTTCGCCTACGGTTGCCAGCGGAGAACGCAGGTGACGTGGTCTGCCAACGTAACCGACGAGAAACTATCGCGTTGAAATTTACCCCTGTCAGCGGAGAGAGGAGGAAAGCTTAGACCACATTCTTTGACTCGATTATGAATAATTGGTTCTTGATAACAATGCCGTGACTACAGCATACATTTAGAGCACAAAATAATAACAATGAAATTAGAACGATTGCAGCAGAAGTTAAAACTCTATACTTTTTGATAGATTCTAGCTTGTAAACATTGCTTGACCGGTGCAACACGCGATCTATCTCAGCAGGCAGCTAAACTCCGTTGTTGAGTACCGGAGAGCAGACACCAAAAACAGAGATGGGGGAGGGGGTTAGCAGCAGTAGATCCACCGTGTTTTGTTGGTGTTTGAGTAAATGTGTTGAGGATTGTGCATCAAGTAAGCGATTTTAGAGAAATAGTGTTCGCAACATAGTGCACCATTTTTCTAGTGTCTGTAGCAATAACGAACAGATAGTAGCGGTAGCAATCATGGCTACTTCAGATGAAAAACCCGTAAAGATGACGCAGGAGAAAATAATGGAAGGTTTCCAAGCGCTTCGCAATGAACAACGGCATTTGACGTTGAAACTGTTCGAATTCGAGCAAGATTTGAATGACCATAAGTAAGTAGCAAGGCAGAAGGGTAAAGTAGTAGTAAAAAGCATGAACATCAAGAAATACCAATAAAATTGTTATAATTGTGAGTTGTTTATCGCTCCTTTAAAGGGTGATTTGAAATAAGGGAGTAACAAGAGACGCAGCGAAATAGCACGCGCCATGTGCCAACTTTGATGCGTACGAGCAGCTCGTCTCTTTTCGATTGATAGATGCAATAAAAATATCTAGAAAGACTAGAAAACGAAATTTTATTGAATGCAGGGTGGAAAACATACTTTTGGTTATATATAAGTAAATTAAAAAATAATCCGTATTGAATGGATTAGGCGTCATATGAGCTTATAAGTTACCAATAATTCTTATGAAAACGAGAGCCTCTTCGCAATGTTATAAAGGACATTACATTTTTATATTTTCCTTACGAATCACGCGGAATATATCATATGCATATATTTTAAGTAAAAAACTTGAAAATGTATATCAAATTGTGTGTAGTATATAAGCCCAACAAGCAGCCATATCCAGCCCTCTAGTGAATACAACAAAGGTAAATTGATCTTAATGTCTATTTTTCTATGAGTGTGTCGATCGAGCGCTATTAATTAAAAATTGATTTAAAAACTATAAAGTATAAGCACCACTTTTAGGAACTACTCACACAAAGATTTCTCGTGAATTTTTTTTTACTTCGATAGGGTAGTACTCGGTAAGGCGTAAGGTTACGTTGGTGTTCCAAAATACTTTAGTTAGCATTTCTTCCTAAATGTTTCTCAATAGGATCAGCCGAATAATGCTTTTCGGTCTCGAAAACAGTGCGGTACCACATACCAAAAACAGCATGACTTATGGCGGGTAGCTATTTTAAAGCTAAGCAAATTTAAGTAGTGTGCATATACTTCCTTTATTAAAGGAATTAACCGGCGGTGAGTAAGGGTAGGAACGCAACCGAATCTGGAACTTACATATCTAATTAATATAATCTCATCTCTGCCCTATTATCGTTTTATTGCCGCGGAGTGTCCTATGTAAAGTAACTCGATTGGTCTGGTTGCTTGACATATTGGACAGTTCCATTTTAGGATGCGCTGTGCCATATATTTTTTTCTATACTTAATCGCGGTTATCATATTACAGACGAAGCGGACACCAGAACAAATCTACGGATCGTCTTTTAGTGTCCACTACTGAACTTATAAGACGCCATTCAAATTCAAGCTAGCAAGCTTCGACTAAAAATACCCGTTGAGTGGAATCAAATCCCTCTTTCAGATCGTAATGAGCAGTATATACGTATAAAAGAAATAATAATGTAGACTATATCTTAACTTATGTTTGTTTCTTTAAATATCATCGGTTACAGTATGGTGATAGCAACATTGGAAAAGGTGAATCCCGGACGACGATGCTTCCGAATGGTGGGTGATACACTTGTAGAAAGAAACGTTAAGGAGATTTTACCTGCTGTGCGCCAGAACCGCGATCAGGTAGGATATATATACAATATACAACGGTAACTTAATCTTAATCCTAAAAGCTATGTAAGTCTATTTTTCTATGAGTAGGTCGATCAAGCGCTATTAATTTGATTTATAAAACAAGTACAAATACTACTAATACATAATCTTTGTCCGATTTTTTTATATTCTTCTAGTTAAGTAATCTAGTCGAGGAATATAACAAACGGATTGTCGATAAAGGCAAGGAGATCAACTCATATCGGGAGCAATATGGTATCGAAATCCGACAGGAAGGTCCGGGTGGGGCAAGCGTTGGAGCACGCCCCGAGAGATCTGACTCTTCTAGCCTGCCGAGCAAAGGATCTAGCAACTCAGTGCTAGTAGAGGGAAAATAAGTAGATTTGACAAAAAAAACATTGCTCCAGCTTATTACATATTACTATCAATGCTGTCACCCGCATGGACCGGCAACAATATTTAAGCCTACTGTAATGTAAATAAACACTACTATCTACAACTAATTCCTTTATTTATGATGTATTCACTGTTACCATTGTATATTTATGTTAAATGATTAGGTGAGCTCAATTGTTTACCATTCCTGATTTTTTTATATTTTTTATATATATTATATATAGTGTATATTATATTCGCAGAGTACTTTATTAATTATTCTAAAAATGCTACTAGTGCTAGTAACCTTTGAAGTTTTTTTGCTGAATTTTTCCAATCTATAATATTAAATATACATATAAAATATATATAAAATCCAATAAAATTTGTAGTCTCACGGGAGATTGCGCTCAGAATAAAAACATTTAAGCTACTAACACAGTACTGGTTTTTAACTTCAATTTAATAATATTAAATTATTTTACATATAATCTTGAATGCTGTGACTAGCTGTGCAAAAAAGACAATTTGTTTTTAGCGCCACCATTTTATATTATTTGATGCATTATTTGATTATGTCAAATCGGTTGCTTACGCTTACATTGTAAATAGCAATAAAAAAAAATGATGATAAAAATAAAAATCTAGGTTCAATATAATTGTCTCACTGAGAATGGACATTTCACATAAACACGTTGGTACTTGATTACCACGCCACTTCTTACGTTATCAATATAATTTAAAACTTCAATTCTTTATTGGGCGTTCACGTAGTACCATTTGTCAATGGTGGATTCTCGGCAAGGATTAGCGGAGAACTCTGACGTTGATCCAACGATCGAGTTAGCCTCTTCTGGGGTAACTCTGTATTTGCCCTGTGTGGTCACAGATGAGCAGTTAATCTTCCCCGTATCTGCAGCTGCCATTAAAGCGACCCAGTGCTCATGTGTCTCCGCGATGATTTTCTCCGCAAAATCGCGATCCTTCACTTGACCATCGAAAGCGAATTTGTTAGGTGGCTTGCCGTCTGGAATTTTGTAAATTCTGAACCACTCGACGGTAGCTTTGAGTAGACCAGGCATAAGCTTTTCGACATCAAGAATGTTGTTGAGCTCTGGTGCTTGGGGGTCTTTGATGTCGATGGCAATCAGCTTCCAATCCGTCTCACCCTCATCGATTAACGCGAGTACGCCAAGCACCTTAACCTGAAATGAAGTAAAGTGATTGCTAAGCAGTTTGTCGATGAGATCTGTTGACTCGGTCTACACAAAGTTCAAAATACGGCTACGTGGCATTTCCAGCTGCAACCACACATTCGCATCAGTGTCACCAAACTGTTTCCTATTGTTAAACGCATTATTTGTATATTAATCTGCCGTTAATTTTACCTGCACAATCTCTCCGCGTTTGGCAATTCGGTGCCCGATCTCGCAGATATCAATCGGATCGTTGTCGCCCTTGAATCCAGTATGAGCATCGGTACGGTTTGGGTCCTCCCATGTCTGAGGAATAGCTCCATAGTTCCAAATGTAACCGTGGTGCGGGAAAGGGTTCTTGACGAATCTCAGCTGTTCCTTTTTGACGTCTTGCTTGATGGGGTTTAACGGCTCTCCAGTGGCGATTTCCATCTTGGCATTGGTCCAACGAGGGACTTCAACGACCATGTTGTAGATTCGATTGGCTTGATCAGCCCACATGGGGATGTCGTGAAACGGGGAAATAGCCTGCCCGCTAGCATTTCGATAGTATATTCTAGAAGAGCAACATTGAAAAAGGCCGTCCATTTACAAGGAAACTCGAACCGCACTTTTCCTAATCTTCATAATCGCGTCATGCTTTCTTAGGTTTTCTTTTTTACAAGATTTCCAAATAAACACTTCCTGTAGTGATCGTGCAGAACAAACTAATATATTAGTTGATTATTTTTACGCACGCTGGACTGCCTGAAGTATTTTTAATTTGAATATGTTGCTAGAGAATGCTCTTTTACTCAATGCTTGCGTTCAAAACACTAACTTTACACTTATTCAAGCTTTTAGCTTTTTTTTTTGGGCAGCTCCTCCAAAATTCAAATTTCGTAAAAACGGTTCCGAATACAAACTCTGTACTAAACAAGTCGCTCTAAAGGCATCCTATTGTAAAAATAGCTCGGTTTTTAGGCATTTCTCTGCATTTTAAAACATTTTTAATGTTTTTGCTTACACGTAGAATTCTTACAAACAATTGAAGTTATCTAGTACAGCTCCTATTATCGGATTAAGTGTGGTTAATTGGAAGTGGATCCCGAGTAACAGTGGGCACTATGAGGTTGGCCAGTTTTGTCGCGAAACATCGTATGACATTACTTCTTCACATCATCTAGTAAGGTCCCACTCTACTTCATTGGGTAAGTCCAAAGGTACCGCCCGATAACACTGGTTTATCAACAAAAACTTGATATTTCGTTACGGCCGAAATTTGACAAGTAATCTTTTGACATATAGACTAGCCAAAGGAGCAGCCTGAATCTACAAGGGTAAATTAAAAGTATGACTTTATCTAACGTTGCTGTTGTGTACCTTGTTTTTCCAAAATAAAATTGTTTCAATGGTTCACTACCGATACATTCTTTAAGAACCAAAATCATTGTCAGAATCATTTGGTACAAGCTGGCTGTACATCATTAGATCGCTTCACTGGCACAAAGCCAAGAACCGCGTTCGTATATGTTGTGTTCGAATGGGCTGAACTAACAAGACGGGGGTAGCGAAACGGCTAGCTCGGATTCATGTGCCTTTATGGCTCCAGTGAACGACGCAACAAGTTTAAAGTAAAAGTTATTAGATGCAAATAACATATTTGCGTATTCTGGAGATTATCTCACTAAGTATGTAGATGCAAACGAGTAATTGAAAATAATACAGATAAAAAAGGCGCTCAGTTTTTTTTGGATAGCCAAGTGTATGGTAGACTTGTAGGCTTCAGTAGCCCAGCCGAGATTCGATCTGTGTTCTTCTCAGAATGTCATCGCGGCGTCACTAACCATCCCGCGGACATATCAAATATCGAACATTGGTTGATAGATATTGCTAAAGCAACCAGTCTGTATGCCAGATTACATGTAAAATTAATACATGTAAAAAGCACCCGGAAAATATTGTTAAGAAATTATTTTTTTAAAAAGAAAGAAAAAATATTTTGCACGAATGGTTAAATCCTATTGTACTAGAGATAAGCGCCTATGTAATGAGCAGGCAATTTATACGCGTCGCCTAGCCTCGCCTCAAATTAAAAGTCGTTTTTTCTTTGGGGGTTAGAACACGAACCTAAACTACACACGTGACCAACTTTTGTTCATATGTTACTTAGCAGTACTTGATCATACACTAATCAACTCTGTTTAAAGACTACGTATGGCTACACCAGTTGAGTGGATTTTCTTTAAAGCAAGTGGGAGCAATAAAATATCAATGCGACCATTAGTAACTATAACAGGCAGTCTTCACAACTGATAACAACTGAACACAACTGATATGATATGATAAACGTTTTCTAAAAATTTCTACAGTACTACATTAAGGACATTTATTCAGCGGATTCAATACATGCTATAAAGCGACCATAACGCAAATAGGACAAATACTTCAACAGTCGCCTTTAACAAGTAGAGCAAGAACGAAACATTCGCGAATCTTCCTGATTAGAAATCCATTAACAAGGACACCTTGAGCTGACCGCATTGGGTATCTGTGGCAGACAGCGCACTCATAAAGACGATGCAATACGCTTTCAAACATAATATTATAGCAATCTATAAAACCAATATACACACTTGGCGCTTAGACACTATAAGCAATTTAAGTGTCTACTATCCAAATACCTAGCGGTACCATTTGTATATAACCCTGACATAGTGCTCCACAAACATGTAATTGGTATCTATAGTGACAGCTATCGACGGGCTAAACAGGGAAAAGCATTTTTCTATCGAGCCACATTTCACTCAACAACGATCAACGTCCCCTGTACGCTATTAAATACATACTAGCATAATTTACTCATAAGACAAAACCCATGAGTCAGTTTACGCACCGGTACGATGTGCTGTTCTCAGTTCCACGCTCGACAGTATGGAAATCGATCATATTCGTAGCGTTGGGTATATTATTAGCCGTACGTTTTACAATGGAGGCGGAAAATTTTGCCGAAATCGTTTGACAGAGAAGAAACGAGGTGCACCCGATAGGGTTCTTGATCGGAACGACACCGGTGACGCTTCGGTTTCCACCGCACGAAAGAAAGTAGCCACGAAGTGTTGCCGCTGTTCGCACGCTGCAATAGAGACCCGAGCGCCACATCGAATCGACGGGGTGATGACGTCTGCTAACACGCTAACAACACACACACGGGCACACCTGTATCGAAGAATCAGCTCAAAGTTGCCGCGCCAATCAGCGGGCCAATCGGAATTTTGCCGGTGCTCTATTCGTTTACCACTGCGTGGAAGAACGCGCGGCGCGTTTGGTAGAACGGCAGTCTGGCAGCACCCCTTTCCACTGAAAGCAGAAGACGAAGAAGGACGATGCTCCCGCGCCGCATGATAATAGCAACGAATGAGAAAGGTTTCCATCTGTGTTTGGAGTGCGCTTCCTAGACGGCGCCACATGCTAATGGATTGACGGAGAAAACGGGAACCGTGCGCACAGCATAAATTTCAACCATAAATTGCAAAGCATTAGTTGACAACTGGAGATAATAACATAGATATAGTAGCATATTGGTTTATTTAAGAAATACTATTTGCTCATAGCATACAGTGTTAAAGCGTGTTATTAGTATTTAGCAGTTTCAATTTGTATGTACACAGAGAGATACAATTCAATATGTGGTATGATACGGACGACCTTCTTGAATTTTTGGCCTTCTTGCCAAGCAGCGAAATATGCTTGATGATGACCCCATAAGTGAAAGGAGCCTTCGCTGGGGCCATTTCACATATTTTACAAACTCTAAATCCAGGTTTGACTTTGATACAGAGCTTGAATAACATCGTCAGACAAGGATTCTCCGATAAATATTGCTACGTATGTACTTTGTGAGGTTCACGTACCCTAACTAATCTACTTATGTTTATAATTGTTATTTCTATTGCCAATAGTAGAAATAATTTATCGAGATTAACGCTTAGAGATTTTGCATATCTAATTCGAACGTGACACATGAGATTAATTCTAAATTTCAAACAGTAAAAAGTTAGAGCCTAATGTCGTTCATTAAAACCGTTTGTTTAAATTTTCATTTGGACTCTCGCTCCATATTTGTCTATATATATATAAATATACAATGAATGATTTACTTTAAGTAAATACTTTTGAAAGTGAAGTAGCGAGAACTTCGTTATTCATTAGAAGACCAAATTCAGATGTAAGAGTATTCAAAAATTTTGAGGATCGGTTGCTCGTGGACCAAAATTAGAGATTTTCTAAACATTCTGTAGATGGAGCACGTGCCAAATGAAATCGTATGCAGCCATTATATAAGATGTAAATACTGTGATTTACTGCAGCTAACTGATAATTGCTAGATGAGTGTATGCGTGGCTTTGGACGTATAGTGTAGTTTGCTAGTATAAAAGGCAAAAATAACACCAAAAAAATATTTAATGAACTCGATTAATAAAGAAAAAACTGATGCTTACTTGGAGGCGTTTTGGGACTCAAATGTTAAAAGTATTTGTATGACTATTTAGACAAACGGATTCAATGAAAATCAGATCTGTTAAAACTTTTGTTGTGCTTTAATGAAAGCACAATGTATCATCTTCCTTCTATATATCTAATTTAAGCCTTATTTTCTCCTATAAAGGTATAATATTTTCGCACGACCGAGTAGCCGGAGCTTTGTAGTTTTTTTATAATCTTTTTTTTATTTATAGTCAGTTTCATGGGGCCGACTGTGGGACTCATTTACGTGTCTGCAGGCAGATGGAACCTTACTCGGTTTTACAAGACTGCACTAACAAGACTGAATAAGTACAAGACTGCTAGCATCTTTGTTACTGCTTGTGAGGCCTGGAACCGATATCTCGAAAGGAGAGAAGAGTTCTTCTTGCGCCTTGTAGTCCCTTACGAGAGGAAAAATCCAACTATATGCCACCAAGGCCCAAGATACGCATGGGGACTATGTGTCTAGGAGGTCGAACACACACACCTCTCTGTAGAAGTGCCTCGAAAACTCCAGAACCGGAAGCTATCAATTGCTCCAGAACGAGAATCAGTCAAAAGATAAAACACAAAAATAGCTGCTTATCTAAGGTCTTCGTGAATTGTGTGTCCGTCTACTGCTTTCTTTTAATTAGTGAAGGCAAATGTACCATATAATGATACTTGGAAAGTTCGAGATTGAATGATAAAAAAATAAGTTAACTAAGACAAAGTGTCGAAAGTGTGCTACAAGAGAGTACATCCGTTGAATTATATGAGATTAATCAAAACGCCTATTTGGAAAGATTCACGAAACGTGATAAATACACCTTTGTTGTACTACCCGTAAATTTATTACTATTAATTTAATGCCAAAAATTATAAATAACATGCAGACCATCACAGAGTATATTCTTGGCCACGCATTCAGTTGCTTAACATTATGCTAATTATGAAAATCGATATCAACACATTAAATAAATCAAAGGTGTCATTTTTGCATGATACACGCGCGTAAATGCATAGTTTCCTTGTTTCACATTCTTTATGCCATTGAAAATGGGTACCGTGCTATTGCGATAATTTGTTTTATGTCTATTGCTAACTGTTTCTTTGTTTTCATGGCTTTTCTTACTAAGATAATTGGAAATGGTAAAGCTTTAGACTTTTCTACTAGTTAAAAATTGCCTGTACTCAAGTAATGTGAATCTTTTAAACTTCATAGTTTTTTGCCAAACTGACCGCCAAATATGCTTTTACTGAGCTATATTTTGGGCTCTAGCTTGAAGCGGTTTCTGTAACTACAAAAAAATATGGTTTAGAATCGTTGTTTATTTCCTTTATAATGAATAAAGTAAATTAAGCTTACTACTTTGAACGCAGAATCAAGAGGTAGACAATAAAAAATATACTTTTATATAATATCTATGCATAATCACGTAAATGCTGATAATTCACAGGACCGCCAGGCAAAGGTATCTTTGACCAATAAAAATCGGAATGTAGGCACTGCCAGTCAAAGTAGATTCAACAGAGCTCTTATGCCAACGTAAACTTTCGTTGATGAACTTGTAGGGAAAAGCCTTATCGAAATATCAGTTCAGTGCAGGATCTGGATAACGCGGGGATGTTACGCGAGTTATACATGCAGATTTACATTCTTACTTCGACAATCCTTAGTATTAATCAAAGAGCGTGCACATCAGTGATCCTCAATTGATAATAGCATATAGAAAGACGGATCAACTACTTTGAAAATATATCTAAATTGCGCAAGACTAGGATGCTTTTGCTCAAAGAAGCAGATTTCATCAGACTTGAGCATTTTGTTTCGTTGCAAGCATTTGAACTTACAACAGAGTAAGGAACTGAATTCATCTAATAATTTCCTCAGCGACCAAAAAACTACCAAAATACAGTAAAGAATCTCAGTTCTATTTTACTATAATTCAATACAAGATGACAAATTCAAATCTATAGGGAATGCGACACATAGGAAAGTCTGCATTGTGTCACCAGCTTTTCGTTTAATATCATTAAGGTTAAAAGTTCCTGTGGTTCATCCCGTAGGCTCCCTATGTTTTCTATAGTTTACTCGGTACGTTTGAACCCAGAAAAGAAAAATTATTAAAGGAATCAAATAAAAGCTAAATGAAATCAGACCGCGTACAATTTTTTGTTCAATGTAATATCACCAATAATTCTGAAGTCAGGATGAGGCTTTTCCAAAAATTGATGAAGGCACCTCCTATGCATTGGGTAAACCACGTAAAGAGCTTAGCTCCACTCATATGTCAACAATTGGAACTTCACCAATTGGCTAAGTTTGCTGCCATATTTAACTAGCCTTCATGGTAATAAACAGCTCCCATCATTGTCTACAGTGAACATCGAGTGCTTGTCTGTCCCTCGTTGAATGTCTGGTAAAGTTGTCAGCCTACCCGTGATGCATATTCACGTGATTTAAAGCTATTCGCTGGGTGTATAGTCGTCCAGTTGATGTCTGCCAATGGATTATATAAAACGTTAAAGTTCATTTGGTTCTCTAACAGAACGAAACCATGTTTTCGAAATGGCTCGGAAAATAATTTGAAAATAGATATTAATATAGTAACTGTAATTAAATTTAATGCTCATTGTATAGCTATAGAGCAACTTGATTACGTTACAGTTTACGTGGATATTCGATGTGCTAGTCGACGATAACTAAATAGTTCTCAGACTGCAAGATTATAAAACAGTGGCTTCGACGGAAGCGCTAAACGTCTGACGCATGAAAATCTAGCCGATTCTAAATGGCTGCAATGTACAATTGTGCCAAGAGGATAGTTATCATTGGGTAGGACGAACGTGAAGTTGGTTCTATTCTATAGGCTCCATGCACACCCTCTAAGGAGACGACTTTCTCAAACGGTATAAAGCCATGTGATTATGGCCATATTTTTTGCCTGAGGTACCACACAATGAACTGCCTAGGCTAAGGTAGCGATATCAATTTCGTTGGCAGTTAGGTAAACAGAAAGCTTTTACCATTCTAGGTACGATGACTCTATCAGACTCAAACGTACGGATACCTACACCTCTACATCACGGCCGACTTACACGTGGTACAGATGTATAAAAAGATAATAACAGCAACCGGCTATTGGATATCTGTCATGAAAATATTTCTACTAATAAACGTATCACCATGAAATACAAAGAACTTGTGCCAACATTTTAATGACGTTTTAGTGAATGAAACGATAAATGTTTTCACAATAACAAGTGGATGTACTTATGTTTTTTTATTAAAACTGTCATCTTTAACCTGCTTCGTAGAGTTTCGCCGCATCGCCCACAATAAAAAAAAATTAGAAATGAGGACAAAACAGAAACCATGACAAGAGGCCATCATTAAGCACACCTCTGTTGAGACAAAGGAGCAGATATTTATACAAGGCAAAATAATTACATTTCGAATAAAGGTTTCTAAAGAGCTTGAGAACTCTATGATGGGCAATGGTAAACATGTTACGTTAAAATAATGTATATATATATATAGTGTTTATTTATTCAGAATAAAATTTCTTTTGTTGTGAAAAGCACAGCCAGCTTACATCCAGCTAGAAGTAATCGCTTGTAGGAACTTGGTGCTCGGTAGAAGCTAAAATGGCACCAGAAAATAACAATGCATTCACAAGCATATCTCAACACGATTTATATAACCTGTATATATATATATATATGTATATATATATATAATCTGTCA